GCCTGGTCCGACCCAACCCACTGATCTGGGCCGAGTCCGGCCCATTTAAAAAAAAATTATTATTTTTATATTTTTCTCCTTTTATTATTTATGCTTTTTTTGCTTAGTATTGGTCTATATTTTTTGTCAAATAATAATAATAATACAAATACGGTATTAAAAATACCCGAGTTTTTTTTATCAAAAAAAAATTTTAAAATCAACCAAAAAAAAAATGTTTTTGTGTATACGGCCAAGTGTCTCAAAGCTACAAAAAAAAATCATATTGTATTTTTTATACATCAAAAACAATATTTTAGCATGCATTTTGGCTTTAATAACCAGTTTATTAAAGTCAAGAGAACATTGGCCAAAATATCAAAAACAACAAGAAATTTTTTTTTGTTTTGTTTAGTATCAGGGATTATGAGGTTATACGTAACACGTATTCTTGATTTTAAAAGTTTCTTTGGTTTTAGATACACATATAATTAGATACCACAATATGATTTCATATTTTATCAGACAAAACAATGCAGCCTACCTTAGGTAGGGCGTAGTCGGGGTGCTAATACGTTCCTTTTACGCAACCAGTCTCCGTACCCGATCTCTAAAGACCAGTTAGGGTTCCTAGTTACCAGAATACTAGGTGGCGACTCCCATTCAATGTTTTCACTGATAAGAGACAAGAATTCCTTGTCTCTTCATATCTTGCTAAAAATACACCACATCCCATCGTTAGCATGGATGGTGGATGATCGCCGCGACGCCGCACACGTGCGACAATAAAAATGCACTTTTAAGTACTAATCAAATACCTTGCTTTGTGGAATTTGCAAAAAAATTTTCTATTTTAGCACTTTGATTACTACGGACTAGTAATAAGCTAGTTGGGGGGGTGTGATTTGTACTTAAAAGTGCATTTTTATCAAGGTTTTATATCATCATTTTGCACTTGAAGTATGAATAACTCCTTAACTAAAGCATGTTTTATAATAATATATCTAATAATATAAGATACCTTCAATTTGTGGTAAATGTTTATTTTAAATGCAGGCGTATCACATAAATGAAAGGATTAATTGATGACTTTAAAAACTTAAATTGCAAGGGCAAAGAGATGACCAAACTTAGAAAAGAGATGCTGGTGTAGTCCATACCGGAATGCTGTTCGGTAATTGGGTCGTATCTAGAGCTTTAGATCTCAAGATGGTGTAGTCCAATTTATATGGATGGAAAGGTAAGACATAGGCCTACAACTTTCATATGGAGCCCAAGATCTAAAAAGGTCATTTTCAAGTCCAAATTGTAGCAACAACAAAGAAGCCCGAATTTATCTTCCAGCCCGAGCACTGTTTAGTATTTGGCCCATATCTGGAGTTCTAGAAGTCCAAATGAGTTGCAATTTTTACACAAGTAACTTGAGACAATTTTCTACAACTTTCATGTTCTCAAGTGGCTCCAATTTTGACGTTATGAATGACGTTTTGGGCAGACAAGAGAAGATAAAGATTGTCACCAAGTCAAGAGTTGGTCACCCACTCATCAATTAGTCATCAAATCAATAGTTCCCAATTTTGGACTATAAAAGGAGGCATTTAGGCATCTTGGTTTCCAAATCAAGATTATGCTTTTGCTTTCTCTCTTTGTATTTTTTGTAATGTTTATGTTTTGCTTTGATTAATATCAAATTTATGCCTTTCATTTCCTTTCATTTACATAGTTAACTCTTATCTTATTTATGTTCTTATTTTGTTTATTTATTTTTCTTTCTTTTCATTATGTCTAGCTAAGTTTATTATATCAAGGTGAAAAGGTTACACTAATGGTGTAAGAATAAGTATAGTGTAAATTTAATATGGACTTTAATGTTTGATACTAACATGTTTTGTATTTGTTATCTTGTTCACTCTTTAATACTTTCCTTGTTAAATGACTAATCTTGATTTATGTTGTATAACACTTGGTACAACAAATGCTTGGTACTTTCATAGCCCATACTGTATGGTATAACCGACACCTAAGCTATGAAAGGAACTTGATTTGTTGTTAACATAAGTTATAATCATGAATGCTTAACGAGATTTACAAGTATTAGCATTAATCGAATAAAATGACTAATGTAATCATGTTAACAATATATAATCTGATTGGAACCTTCTTTGTGTGTGGTTTCCAATTGAATAATAAGAGTTTATATTATACTTGTTTGACATACCATTAGTGGATTCTCTAACCTTGACATTTGTTATTATCATCGTTTAATCCTTACATTAATATTCCATCTCCAAGTTCTCATCTTCTTCTTCTTCTTCTTCTTCTCTTTCTTTATTATTATTATTATTATTATTATTATTATTGTTGTTGTTGTTGGTGGTGGTGGTGGTGGTGTTGTTGTTGTTGCTATTATTGTTGTTTATAATTTGTACAATTAACCTCCCTGTGGTTTGACCCCGGTCTTGCCGGATTATTTATTACTTCAACACTCCTGCACTTGGGAGAAGACATCAATCTTTTACTCGTGTCATGCATAAAGAAGATTCCAATCGGATTATAAATAGCTAACATGATTACATTAGTTATCTTTCTAGAATAATGCTAATACTTGTTAATGTTATCATGTATTCATGATTATAACTTATGTTAACAACAAATCAAGTTCCTTTGATAGCACAAGTATCGGTTATACCATATGGTTGGGCTATAAAAGTGCCAAGTATTTGTTATACCAAGTGTTCTACAACATAAATCTAGATTAACCATTTAACAAGCAAATTATTAAGAGTAAACGAGATAACAAATATAAAACATGTTAATATCAAGCATTAAATTCCACATTGAGTTTACACTATACTTATTCTTATACCATTAGTGTAACCTTTTCACCTTGACATAATAAACTTAATTAAACATAATGAAAGAAAAGAAACGTAAATAAACAAGATAAGAACATAAATAAAATAAAAGTTAACTAAGTAAAAGAAAGGAAATGAAAAGCATAAATAAGATATTAATGAAAGCAAAACTTAAACATTACAAAAATATAAAGAAAAAGAGCACGAACATGATTTTGATCTCAAAACTAAGATGCCTAAATACATGGCAAATACCTCCTTTTATAGGCCAAAAATTGGAACTATTTATTTGATGATTAATTATTGAGTGGGTGGCCAACTCTTGACTTAGTGACAATCCTTATGTTTTTGTCTGAACAAAACATCATTGCTAACGTCAAAATTCGAACAAACTTAAATCATGAAAGTTTCAGAAAATTATCTGATCTTTCCAACAAAAAAAATTGAGGGCATTTGTTCTTCTAGAACTCAAGATATGGGTTAAACACTAAACAATGTCTAGGATGCAAGACAGATTCAGACTTTTTTGTTGTTGCTAAGATTTGGACTTTCAAACAGCGTAATTGAGTCTTGCATTCCTATGAATTTTTAGGCCTATGTCTTAGCTTTCTAGCCATATAAACCAAATTGAAATCCAAAATCTATAAGTTCAGATATGACCTAATGACTGAACAGTGTTCTAGTTTGGACCGAACCAACATCACTTTTCTAAGTTTGGCTCTCTTTTTATCCTTTCAATTTCAGTACTTAAACTCATCAATTAATCATTTCATTTATGTGATAGGCCTGCATTTAAGATGAATATTTACTATAAATTAAAGCTATCTTATAGTATCAGACTTGTTATTATAAAACATGCTTTAGTTAAGCAGTTATTGATGCTTCCAGTGCAAAATGCTGATATAAAACCTTAATAAAAATGCACTTTTAAGTACTAATATACCCCCCAACCCGCTTATTTCTAGTCCCTAGTTTACAAACTATTAAAATATAAAAACAATTT